GTTCTGACACAAAATATGGCGCCCATCGAATCACCTTAAGCGAATTTAAAGTAAAATTTGTCAACTTAGACAAAGAGCAAGGGCAGAATGGTATCTTGCAACAAGTCTCGCACCGTTGCCGCCAGGAACCGTCCATGGAAAAGTTTCGACAATATAAACGGACGTTTTATCTGATGCACTCGGGATGGAGCCCCTGCAGCCTGCACATGACGGGTCTAGCATATTAATTGGTTCATTCCAGGTGAATTTCCGCGGGAAGCACGTCCATCGCAACCGGTTGAGCCGGAAAGTCAATTATAGTTCCGGGCATACACGAGACAAATAACTTCAAATCTGGAGATTTCCACCCTCCGACAGAATGGACCTGGGGGTAGAGGAGAGGAGAGGACCTCTTATATAGGTTAGGATATTTATTTTCCGAAACGTCTGCAGTTTCCTAAGTATGCAATTACCGCGAAAGCGCAGTACTTGCAGTTGCTGCATTGTATTCACTTTTTGAACGTGGAACTTTGAGTCTCGCTGTGGATGCATTTCCGTCGGAGGCACGTCCCTCGCGACCGGTTGAGGTGGAAACTCAATAATTACAGTTCCAACAATATGAGACAAACAGATCGTATTAGATACATCAAACGGGTGAGATTTTACCGATATCGATTGGTTCAAAACATAAACATAGCCTCATAAAGTAAATTCAGAAATCTGAGAGAACGGGTCTTTTGTAACAGATTGTTTATTCTTTTGAGTACCAAATGCTAATGCGAAATGAAATTGTCAGGAAATTTCTCATTTTCAGCTATCTATTCAGCCTCTATTGTTTTGAACCGAACGATACATCGAACCGTTATCGAATACCGTCTATAAGTTCAAATCTGCAAATTTCTTCCTTCCCACGGAATAAGCCCCTACGTCTAGTCAGTGTCGGAGAATTTTAGTGAAACACCCTCAATTTTACAAATTAACTCTTTTATCAGCAGAGTGTCATTTCTTAAAAATGCCTTCCTTTGAATATTTGAGGAATTTGCTTCATACTATGCAGAAAATTCACTGAAATTTGCAACAACAAAAAAATCCGCACAATCGTTTTCGTGTGAAAAATTAAATCGCCCAAATAAATTTGGCTATAGCTGATGTGACTTGGTTCCTCTCTGCTTAACGCGGTCCAAATAACGACTCACTTGTTGAACTGAATTATACTGTCAACATTTTCGGAGAGTTCAAAGAAAATGCCATGCACGCCGAGAAAACACGAAGAGTTGCACCAAAAAAAAAAAAAAAAAAAAAAAAAAAAAAAAAAAAACACCTTGGTAAAACTACAATCTGACAGTTACGTATCATCGGGAATTCCCAATTAGACCAACTTTTCCCGGTTTCGTAACTTTAAGTGTTCGGTAAAAAGGGGTTAAAATGTGGATTTTTGGTGAACTTCACAACCATGAATTTTGAAGCATCCAACGGGAGTTTCTTCCATCGATGTGCACTGCAGTTTCTCCTCAGCGCGACAACAGGGAGTTTACAGGCGTACGTAAAACTTTCGACAAGTTACAACAAGCTCTGTTTGTAGTTGGAACAAACAGACAAATTTATGAGTTGGAAAAAATGAACGACTGGGTTTCATCGGAGGAATAAGGACCCCCAGTCCCCCACCCCCAACAACACCCCCAATAGACAAAAACATACGAACGATAAAGGGACGCCATCGGATATGCGTGGTTTCTGGTTAGAGGTTGGCGGTCGAGGGGAAAATGGAGACTTGAAACAGAGAGAAGAAAAGTTCCAGGCCTCGAGTTTGTTCAAACGTCTCTCGTGCAAGTTTTTTAGTTTTTGTGTAAGTCTATAAAATCGGTGAGAATTGGTAGCGCGGCTGTCAGAATGTCCAAGTATTAACATTTATCCCGCTCAGCTGGATGAAATTTTACTCGACGAGGTCAGTGGCGAGGCGTGAATGATCGATTGTCGATTTTTCCCCGTTTAAAGCTATGGTAAAGAATCGATTATTAAGGTGTTCGTCGCGAACACCCTGCTTATCGATCATTTTCCATAGCTTATAATGGCGGAATATTCGATCTATCGCAAAGCACGCCACGCCACTGCAAGAAATGCCCTTCCTGCATCCAGAGCTTCAATTCCTAAACTCGTCGATTTTTTGCTCATGAAGCTGGATTCTATATTTTACGAAATGCATTATGATCTGGTAATTTTTTGGAGGTGTATTATATTAATACTGGGTGTAAATGGCTAATCGATCGATGTATCGCAAAGCACGCCACGCCACTGCAAGAAATGCCCTTTCTACACTCAGAGCTTCAATTCCTAAACTCATCGATTTTTTGCTCATTCTATATTTTACGAAATGCATTATGATTTGGTAATTTTTAGAGGTATTCTCGTATTAATAATGGGTATACATTAATAATGGGTGTAAATGGCTAATCGATCGATGTATCGCAAAGCACGCCACGCCACTGCGAGTTGGCAACCCTGCGACATATCCTATTTCAGACACTTCGATTCGCCAACTTTTGAGCGGCTTTGGAAGTTTCGAGCCCGCTCTGGAAATTTGAAAACTTCCCAAGCCGCGCAACTTTCGATTGCGTTTTGCCAGCTGCCATATGAATTTTTAGTCCGGTCTTTCAAAGTTTGCGGAACAAGCTGTCTCGCGGAAGCTGGACTCGGTTGTTTTTGCGGGGAGCTACAGGCAAATTTTGTGTCGGACAGCTCGTTTGAAAAAAGGGGCAAGTGCCATGGGAGTCCAACGGCACTGACGATCTTTTAGCACTTCGATGTATCAGTCATACTTCATATGATTTGCAGTCGGATGTCACGGTTTAACGACATTATGATATAACTATCACACTGAAAAAAAATCTCGGTGTATTTACCAAGAAAATGATAAAATTACCAAGAATTCAGGGTTCTATTTGATCCCAGTTTTTTCTTGGTAAAATTACCATTTATGGAATTGGTAATTTTACAGAGGAATCTCGGTAAAATTGTTGAACTTTCTCGGTAATTTTACTGGACCTTGGTAAAAACGCCAATATTTTTTATCGACTGTAGTAGAATTACCGAGATAAAATGGCAAAGTTACCGGGAATTGATTACCAATAAAAGTGGTATTCTTACCTCAAAAAAACAGTAAAAATACCGGTTTTTAGGTAAGCTTACCAGTCTGTTTTGGTAAAATTACCAATGTTTGGTAAAAAAAGTGAGATGGTAAAGGTACCAACGGACCGTAGTAAAAACGCCGAGACTTATTTTTCAGTGCATGTATTTGAATGAGAGGGGAGTCGGAGAGATGATTGTAAATTATAAGCGATAAATTGCGATTCCATCACATAAATTTGCAATTAAATTCGCGTCACTACCATCCACATGAAAACATCCGACTCTCGCAGAAGCAAGAACACAAGCTTAGACGAGTGTTTCAATACAAACCTTGTAAAACTTTAATTTTTAGCCACACAGAAATTGTCCATAAACTACATAAGAAACCACATAAAAGTCGCGAATCATAACTGGACGTATTTTTATCAAACGGAACTAAGTGCATTAAGACATGAGCCCTGAGACCCATAATAATATATGCATTACAGGGCTCATTCCACAATGCACATAGTTCCGTTTGATAGTAATACGTCCATAATTGTGTCAGAACGGGACTTATGAGAAAGCCGTAAGTGCACGAAAAATGACGTAGTTTCAGGCAAGAAATAAGTTGAATACGTGATTTACAAACGGCGGGTCGTATTGGCTCGCTAGATCAGTCACATCATTGATTTTATGTTACAAACTTAATGCGACACTAGAATTCCCACGTCGAAACGTGGATGTTTGGAAAACGCCTTCAAATGCGGCGTGATACCTCCCGCATTCCGGAGAGAACACACAGAGAGGCACAGTGATACAACTGTATCACTGTGCCTTAGCAATGCAACGGAAGATTGATATTGAAATAGCCTTCACGGGGCTTGCCGGTTTGCCTTCGACATTTTCCCCGGGTAGAATTGTAATAAGCAAACGGGTAATTCTTTAGGAGACTGAAAAATAAACAAGTGTTAAGAAATTAAACGAAAAAACAGGAACTGGAATCAACAATTCAGAATACAGGAATATTACAATAATAAATTTTTATTAAAGCCAAAACAGAACGATCCAGGGCTGCTTCGTAAAAATGTGTATCTCGGTAAAATAATTTTATTTATTTATTTATTTATTTATTTATTTATTTATTTATTTATTCATTCAGTAAAATACATATTAAAGTATTTACAATGTGATGATTAGACATTAAGGCGGATCTTTTTACCTTTTGTTTTAATAAAATAATTTTTACAAGCACTATATAGGAAACTATAAATTAGAGAATTATGAAGTAAAAGTAAACTAAAATTGATAAGATATGGAGTCATAAAGATGGTAAAAATATTGAGTAAGATACAGAAGTAGTGGAGGAGGTATAAAAATTATAGAGGATATTTACAGATATGAATTACGTTAAACAAGGCAAAACATAGGGGATGACAAAAAGTGCAAATTGCCTAACTGTGAATAACTCAAATTATAGTATCTGTTTAATTACTAGACAGATTGTCTTTTAAGTTAGGGGCACTCCGTTGTCGACGGAGACAGAGAGGAGCAGTGCCCAGCGGACTGATTATTGAAATTTATAGACAAAGCGATAGACAAAGAAGACATAGAGAGTAAGAAGCGATCCTATAGGTGGAAACGGGTGGCTCTTATAGACTAAGGGAGAAAATGATGGACTAACTATCGGGTCTCTCGTGGGTTGCCGCTAGTTAGTCTATCACTCACGCCCTTTGTCCATTGCAACCACCCGCTTCCACCAATAGGATCCCTCCAAATCCCTCTTGTCTTCTTTGTCTATAGCTTTGTCTATCAATTTCAATAATCGACCCGCTGGGGATAGGACCAAGTCCCTAGCGGAAACAGCGTGCTAAATCAGACTTTCGTAAAATAATGTGATGTGGATTTTGTTGCAGGTACTGGGCTGTGACGAACATCGACTACATCCACCAGCGGACGGGGAAACGGATCGGTATAATGATCCTAGTGATATGGACCGTCTCGTTCTTGGTGTGCATAGCGCCCCTCCTCGGCTGGAAAGACCCCGAGTGGGAAACCAGGGTCCTCCAGCAAAGAACCTGCCTCGTTAGTCAAGACATTGGGTGAGTCAAATCCTTTCAAACATATACGTCCAAAGAAATGAGCAATCGACAGCAAATCGCAATCTATTTGGGTTGAATGGACCACTACACAAGGTACGAATTTCAGCATTCTGATACATGTTTCGCAACTAAAATTGTACGTAAAACACGATGCGCACAACAAAAATTACCGAAATTAACTTTTTACGGCGATATTTAATGATTCTTGATGCGTGAATTCAAACCACCCCCTCATGAAAAATCAATGCTCTACGTGATTCACATCGCGCGCTAAATATTATCATGAACGTCTCTACGATAAAAAAATCTGGCAACCTCAATCTTGACGCTTTAGCTCAGCTATAGCAAATTACTTATAGTTTGAACAACACATGGTGGGAAATGAACATTGCTCGATTGAGAAGCTTGCTGAAACCGTTGTAGTGCAAGATTTGACTAACGTAGAGCTTTGAGTTTCTTGTGAGCGGGGAGTTCAAATCTCTCGTGACCAATGTGAAAGAAAAATGTTAATATCTCCGTTAGTAGTTGGTTTCAGTAATTTGTATTGCTCTAATCGTGTTCTACGTGAAATTTTGGTTAAGAAACTTGTATCAGAATGCTTAAATTTGTACCTTGTCTAGTGGTCCATTAGGGTACTGAGAACTCAACACCGATAGCAAACCAAACGAAAATCGCCTTCAATCAACAGGATATGCAATACACCGACAACAGCGTCGTTAGAGTCGCATTCGTTGAATCTCCATTCGAATGAGTTAGTTTGGTGGAAGGCGCAATTTGGGATTTCTTAACTTTAGTATAATCCAACTGTGGCATTTTAAAGAGGTTAATTCCGGGTCCGAAAAGGCCTACACTTATATTTAAATTATTAGGGTGAAAAAAATGAAAATAAAATCAAAGAAAAATGAAAAAAAACCCAAGGATACGTTTACCGCCGTGCTAAAGAAAAACGCCGTATGAACATTTGAGAGTTGCCAAATTTCCCTCTATAAAATGTCTATTTACAAGGAATGTTATGAATATTTTTCCTTGACATTTTCAGGAACTTTAGCTGAAATAGCAAACAAAATTATCTGAAAAAGCAGAAGAAAAATATTCATAAGTTAACTAGAAAATTCGTGTTTTATCAAAGGAAATTTGGCAACGCCTGAAGGTTCATACGGCGTTCTTCCTTAACACGGCAGTTCAAGCATCACGCAAAACCACTCGCAAGATAACTTTTCAGCCCCCCTTTCGAATTAAGTAAGACGTATCTGACACCTCCTCCTCCTCCCCGTCCCGATTCCCCCGGATTCTGCAGAAAATATGGGAGAAAACCTGAAAAATTGCTAGAACGTTATTTTTACCAAAACCTATTAATTTATTTCAAAGGGGAAGACTTACTAAATACTGGTTTGGCCTACTGCCGTGCTAAGCAAAAACGCCTTGTGAACATTCGAGTGTTGTCAAATTTCCTTCAATAAAATGTTCATTTTTTAGGAAAATTATGAACTTTTTTCCTTGATTTTTTCAGACGTTTTAGATCAAATTACAAACAAAATTATCTGCGAGATTGGTAGACAAAGATTAAAAAATTTTCCTGAAAATTAGTGATTTGCCAGGGGAAATTTGGCAACGCCTAAAGGCCACACGACGTTTTTCCTTAACACGGCAGACTACTCCACACTCCTTTTTATTATCTCGTAAAGATACCACAGACCCCTCCCCCGCCTTACGCACTACTCAGACGACCCCAATCATTAAACCGCCATTGTATTTTGAAGGCAACCTTGCGAAATGGTAGCACGAGCCAGTGTCGAGCCTTCCAAATCGAACGATTGATTTTAGTTAGTGTAGATTATTTGAGGGGCTTGGAGGACAAGGCGCATAAATGCAGTTTTTGAACAAATTGAGATATTAATGATTTAAAATAAAATTAGTCTTAATGCATAATCTGTGCGAAATTTGCTCCCAAATTCCAATTTTGAAGCATCAAAAAGTCAGTTCGGACTTTTTCTCCGCCATGAAGACCCATGTAATTCCGAAACATCCAACGCGTTTTCTCGACATTGGAAAAACTGCTTTTATGCGCCATGTCCTCCAAGCCCCTCGTTCATATTTGATTACAATGGAAGAAAAATTGGATTGCATTTTGCAAAAAAAGAACCAGGAGCATTGCAATGTTACTAAGATTGTGCAACTTTCACCCATTGCAATTTAACGATTTATATCCGGAAAAATATGAAATTTACATGGTAATTTTTGTCCTAAATTTACAGTTTTTAGCGAGTTGAATAGAAAATGTTTAGGGATAATCAGGTATTCCTCTCAATACAAAAGAAGCTGCACAATCTTAGCAATATTTTAATGCCCCTGGTTCCTTTTTGCAAAATGCAATTCAATTATGTTTACATCTAGCGCGCATCGCACCTGCTATAGCACTTATTGGATCAGGTATGGTAGAATCAGCTGCGGATCGATTATCGAATCGTTATCGAGTGAATATTATCGATTACTTCCTATCTCGGCAATGTTACTTATCGATGACGATCATTCAATAATCGATCACGCCCATCTTCGCGACGCGAGTCACGCTAACGCCCAAAAAGTCGCGTCGCACCTTCTAGCTTGAATGCTCACTTGACGCGACTCTTATCAGATTCAGAACCCAAGTGATAATACCTGATTCCGGATCATACCACTAGATGGCATAGCAGTTGAAAATAAGTCTGATTTCTCCAGCGAAAATTGCGATCAGGATTTAATGGGGTCCACGCTTGAATCATGTCTTCCTCGGTGTACTCTAAGAAAATAGTACGGTTAATTTTTTAAAGCCCAGTCGTCAAGCGTCTGGGTGATGATCGATTTCATTTCCTCTTTTTAATTGTGGAGCTAACGATGTCTCGAAGATGCGGACACGTTCTTCTTGCCTCTCATTTTTATTCATACAAATAAAGCAAGAATTATAACAAATGAAAGAATTTAAGTTGGGGGATTGAATAATCTTAAGATCGTAAAAAAAAAGCAACAACAACTTCAGTAAGTTAATTCTTCCTCAAATTTGCAAAATATTAAAATTTCAGGAATTAGAAATAATTTTCTTTTTCCTTGTATTCTAAACAGATGAAGTATCTCTGCATTTTAAACGCAATGTTGTAGATAAAAAAGTTAATGATGAAAATAAATCTTAAAAAGTCTCCCAGAAGAAGGAGTCTTATTTCGAAGAAAATAACAATCAGCGTAATCTGATTTGATACACAATGATGAACGCAATTTATTGGAGGAGGTACTTCAAAGTAACCATACCTAATAAAATACATGCGTTTAAGGGAAGTTGTGCTGTTAGATGATTGATGAAGTCATAATACACGGCTTGACGTCACGTACATTTTTTCCCACTTTTTCCACAATATGGAGCGTGGAGGACAACGCACATATAAGTGCAGTTTTTGAAAAAATTGAAATATTCATGATTCAAAGTAAAACTAGTCTTGATGCATATCCTGTGAAACATTCGCCCCCAACTTCTAATTTGTACGCATCAAAAAGTCAGTTTTAACTTTCTTTCTGCCATAAAGATCCTTATGATCTCGAAACTTCAAACATGTATTTCTTGAAGTAGCAAAAACTGCACTTATGTGCCTTGTCCTCCAATCCCCTCAATTATCGCGTATTAAAAAAAATGTATAAAAAATACAACGATCTCAGCTCATTGAAAATTATCGGATTGAGGCACAATTTTTTTCCATGCAAATTCTGCTTTAAGTTTTGTTTTAAAAAGTTGAGTTTTGAAAAGCAGATTTTTTTCAAAATATAAAACTTGGTTGTTTCAGGTATCAAATATTTGCGACAGCATCATCTTTCTATCTACCTCTATTCGTAATTTTGGTGCTGTACTGGAGGATATTCCAAGCTGCCAGGAAAAGAATTCGACGGAGAGTGCAGGCGTCCGCCGTAGCCAAGATCTCATCCCACGGTACTGTCAAGTATCCTCCTTCGGGAGGCGTTGTAGCTGGTGAGATACTGAAGCGCCTTCAAATTTCCCGTAGGCAATTGAGCATGTATTTGTTACCTTCACGTAGAGTAGAAACGGGATGCGTGTTGATGTGTTTCAAATGTTTGTTGTGCCTAGTGTGTTTGATGTATTGTTGTGTTTAGTGTGTTCGGTGTGCTCGATGTGTGTTTGTTGTGTGATGTGTTTAGCGTGTTTGGTGTGTTTGAAGTACTGTAAAGAAATTCACCCAGATTCAGTATCGTACGTTTCCATGAGTCTTTTGGATTTCAGATTAAGTCCAAAGAGGAATCAAGAGGAGCAATTGGAATTGTGGGCGGTGTGGCACCTCCTTACTTTTACGAGTCGTCTCTGATTGACTGATCCACCTAGTGCCCACTCTCTGAAGCCCCTATGGAAAATAACACGGAGTTCATTTCTCATCACAAATATCTCAAAAACAAGGAAAAATTTATGCGTCGGAGATTTCAAACATTCGATTCTCTAGATTTTCTCTAGATCTCTCTAGATTTTCTCTAGATCTCCCTAGATTTTCTCTAGATCTTTCTAGATTTTTCTAAAAAGTTTCGTGGGTGGTACATGCAACTTGTTCCTCAAGCAAACCGAACAGTTTGACCCGGAATTTTGTTGTTTTATGACACCAAGTGTCACATTTCAAGTTAAAAGTAAGCGAGTGAAGTTACCAGTATTCAGGGCAAATCATCCCGATCCCAAAGTTATGTTAACTCAGAATAAGGTACACCATAGAAAATTTCAAAGTCACTCAGAGCCAAAAGTATTTTAACGGTGTGTGTTTGGCGTGTTTGATGGGTTTATACTGTTTAATGTGTTCCGTTTTTGTGTGTTTTGGCAAATTTCAGTGCGTCAAATTTTTCGAGCAAATCGGCAGGGTTGCAACCCAAAAGAGAAAAACGTTCAGCTAGTGAGGTCAAGAACTAAACTCAGTTGATAAATGGCCAACGTCTGCATCCATCTTCTTTTCAACCCACCTCGAGAATTTTAGATGTGGTCACCATTGATGCCAGCATGAAAATTAAGTGTTGTAAGTGCAACGTCGCCGGTGGGGGGGGGGAGGTTCGTTTTGTTGTGATGAGAGTTGGCAGTAAGTCAAAAACTTAACTGAATCCACTCGCGGAAATTTGCCTTTTAATGTGTTTGGTGTGTTTGATGTGTTGTCATGTTAGTTGTACTTGGTGTGTACGTTATGTTTTTAAGGCCTAAATACACGCTCAAATTTCCATCAATTCCGATCAAATGGTGACTGGTGCGCATCATCTACCATCAATTTTTCGCGGCCTGCAAAAATTTGACCGCCATTTTTGTCATCATTGTGATCGGAAATTGACGGAAATTTGAGCGTGTATCCAGGCGTCATCGGTGATTATTGATATTTTTTGGACTAATAAGCGGTGCTAATTAATGAAGATACATGAAAAAACTTTAATCTTCAAATTTCAAGTCTTATGATTTCTCAGAACTGTAACTTCAGTCATAGTATCGTCAAAAATCCATTACTCTGAATAAGTAGCCTTTACACAGAAGAATGTATATAACATGATAACTGTAACAAGCAGCCGGCTCGAGTGAAGAAAAGTAAATACTTTTTCTCTGTTCTATTTTAGTCTTCATTGAGAAACATTTTTTGTTAAATTATGCATCCATTTTGTGAAGAAAAAATCAGTGGTCACGTTTCGTCATCGTGAAGTTTACCAAAAAAATTGCAAAATTTTACATGACTTCGTTTTTTTCAAAACGACTCGCTTCTACAATTTATTGGATCTTTCTAACAAAACAGTCGGAAAAGTGCACTAAAAAGAAATAACGTCCCTTTTCTTCACACAACGGATTTATCATTTAACAGAACACTCTCAAAGTTCATTTCAGTCTCTTCAAAAATGTTTCACTCGAAAATGTTGACATTTGTGGCTGAACGCTACATCTTTGTAAGGGGACGTTCAAGTATTACGTACGGTACATTGTCCGACTTTTTGACCTTTTCTCTTACAAGAAGTTTGGAACCGTCTCAACTCCTATCTCATCCAGATGATACAATTAAAAAAATGAAATTTATAGAAGAATCAAAACCACTATTTGCTAAATCTGACACTCCTTTCTTGTGTTATCACATGCAAATGGGAGTCTAAGGTTTTTCATGTTTTTCCCTCTTATATTGTGACGTATTGCTTCCAAACGGAACTATGAGTGGGTGGGAAAAATGGGTTATGCTCGTGGTGAGCTGGATAAGAAATAATGTAAAAGTGTGCGTACTCCCCTCAGAAGAATTGGAAAAGCGAGATTTTAAATTCACGAAACGAAACTGTGTGCCAACTATATGCGGGACTCATGAGCCGTGGGCAAGGGACAAGAGCGTTGTGGACAGGGCTCATGAGTTAATGCGGAGAAAGAGTCAGTGGCGTGGCGTGCTTTGCGATATATCGACTGATCTGTCATTTAAACCGGTGGAAAAGGATTGATAAACAGGGTGCCCGCAATGAACACCCTAATAATCGATTCTTTACCATACCTTCAAATGAAGGATTATCGATAATCGATCATTCACGTCGTCGCCGTTCACAACACTGCCGTAATTGCGAAGAGAGCAGTAAGTGTCAAATTTTCGAAATCGAGTTTCCTTCGGAATTTGTTTCATCTTTTTTCGATGAAATCACTGAAATAGTTAAACCACCAAATTCAGTTTAATTAGACGTATTTCTACCAAACAGAACTATGTGCATTAAGGCATGATCCCTGAGACCCATAAGAATATGTGCATAACAGGGCTCAAATCGTAATGCACATAGTTCCGTTTGATAGAAATAGTCCCATTGTGTCAAAACGAGGCATATGAGAAAGCCGTAAGTGCACGAAAAATGACGTAGTTTCAGGCAAGAAATAAGTTAAATACCTGATTTACAAACGACGAGTCGTATTAGCTCGCAAGATCAGTCACACCATTGATTTTGTGCTACAAACTTCATGCGAAACGACAATCCCCACATCGAAACTTGGCTGTTTGGAAAACGCCTTCAAATGCGGCGTGATACCTCCCGCATTCCGGAGAGTACGAATAGTTGTATCACTGCGCCTTAGCAACGCAACGGAAGATTAAAATTGAAATAGCCCTCGGTTTTCCTTCGACAGTTTTCCAAGGTAGAATTGTATTAAGTAAACGGGCGATTCTTTAGGATATTGAAAAATAAACAAGTGTTAAGAATTGAAACGAAAAAACAGGCACTATTATGTTTCGCAAAATAATTAGTAAAAAAGGGCAAACCCATACGCTAATTCGGCAAACATTTTGCAAATGTAGCAAAAGTTTTAGCAATACCAGCATGAACTAGTAATGGTATTTTCGCAAAGTTATAGTTTGCTATTTTTGCACAATAAAATTACTACTTTTGCAAATTGTTTTGTCATTCTTGCTACGAGGGTGGGCATTTTAGCGAAAAAAGCGAATTGCAGAAATCGCAAACCACTTTTTGCCATTTTAGCAATGTTTTTTTTTTTCGTGCAGCAGCGATTGACAGTATAAGAGACAATTTAATTCCACAGAGACCCATTAAATACAGTGCTTTCAAGTAGAGTGCCGCCCTCTTCAGCCAATTTCCAACCTGAAAATGTGTTTGCTGTGTGTCCAAAACGCAACCATCATAGCCTGCTGAAGATAGCACTTACGGCTGTCTTGTCTAACAATAGCCTAGCAAGAAATAAGAAAATACCCTTTTTATGTAATTGAAATTAAATCGGTTGATTTTTAATAATCAAAACGATTTCAGCAGGAGTCTTTCGGTCGATTAGTGACAATTTGACAAAGAGCTGAGGCTACTTTCAATAGAATTTTCCGGTCAGAAGCCTCCGAGTCCGTTTTCTCAGAACTTCAGTTTTGCACTTACTGCTCTCTTCGCTATCACGGCAGCGTAGAGAGAGAACGGACATGTCTAAATATGTAACTCCCAAGCCCAAAACGACTACCAACCTCCCAACACGAAAAATGTCTCTGCCGATCTTAAGACTCCAACATCAAACGCAGTGGTCTTGTAGCCGCTAGCATGCGTTTCTCGCCAACCGCACTGTGTTTGATGCAATGCGTGATGTATCCATGCAATCTTGTAGGCGCTAGTATACGACTCATGCCGACCGCCGCGAGGTCTTTTCCTTTTCATCTCTAGTCCTCGTCATCAGTGCTCTCATTTTTGCACTTAGTGCTCTCTTCGGTATCACGGCAAAACACTGAAGCTTTACATTAGGTCAGTTTTGCTGGTCACAGAATCGTGTTTTGATGCTTGATTCTTGTAGATAAGCTAAAAATAACAAGATTTGTCCAAACAACAACTTTCTACGTTCAATATTAGCCGAGATATCGCCCTTTGAAAAGTCGGGTTTTTGACGCCATCCGCCGCGTTGGGTACACCCTCGGTTTCCTCAACCTTGCTTTCATCAGTCGGTGTGACGCATATTAGCACTGGTTATTCAACGTGAAATCCAGTTGAAAGCAAGGTGGAAGAAACCAAGGGTGTCACAATCGCAGTGGATGACATGAAAAACCTGACTTTTCAAAGGGATATATCTCGGTTAATGCTGAACGTAGAAAGTTGTAGTTTGGACAGATCTCGTTATTTTTAGCTTATCTACAAGAATCAAGCATCAAAACACGATTCTGTGACCAGTGCAACTGACTCATTGTATTCGTGACGAAATGAATATCAAAATTTGAAATTTTAATCAAAATTTTCTTGACTGATGAAAGCAAGGTGAAAAAAATCAAGGGTGTCATTACCGCAGTGGATGACATAAAAAAACCGACTTTTCAAAGGGATATATCTCGGTAAATATTGAACGTATCCGTCATATCCTGGGAGAAGACGTAGGGGACGCCCAGCAAAATCGTGGATTGGTGGCATTCAAGATGAAATCACAAGATGCCATCTACCAGATGACCTCTGGATCAATAGGCAAGGATGGCGATTAGGTGTCGCAGAGCGCCCGAGCGCGCTGTAAAGCGACTCGAATGTATGTAAATATTGAACGTAGAAAGTTGCGATTTGGACGGATCTGGTTATTTTTAGCTTAACTACAAGAATCAAGCATCAAAACACGATTCTTTGACCAGCACAACTGACCCATCCCCATTGATTCTTACCGCCCGCCATCAAACTCAGTGGTCTTGTAGCCGCGAGCATACGTTTCTTGCCGACCGCACTGTGTTGGACGCAATGTGTGAAGTATTCATGCAGTCTTGTAGCCGCTAATATGCGATTCATGCCGATCGCCGACCCCACTGAGTTTCACGCAATGCGACCTAACGAGCACCCCCATATTTTCCAGCCACACACAGTTCTGTTAGGTAGAAACACGTCCAATCGTCGGAGTTATTTGTGTGTATTTCTGATTGTATCCTGTTTTTGTTCAGGTCTGTGCGCCGCGGGCGCGACGGGCGGCAACGGGGGGATCGCGGCGGCGGTGATCGGGGTGATCGGGCAGCCGCTGCCGACCATCTCGGAGCTGACGACGACGACGACGACGGCCATGACGAACGTCTCCTCGGCCAACTCGAGCCCGGAGAAGGGCTCCTTCGGCAACGGCCTCGAGGAGGACGCCCCGCCGACGGTCAACGGGCCCTCCCTCCCGACGCTCGTCCCGCCGTCGCCGCTCCCGCCCCCGCTCAAGCCGCCCCCGCCGCCGCCGCCCAAGCGGAAGAAGGAGTCGGCCGACTCCAAGCGGGAGCGCAAGGCCGCCAAGACCCTCGCCATCATCACCGGGGCCTTCGTCATCTGCTGGCTCCCCTTCTTCATCATGGCCATACTCCTCCCCATCTGCAGCAGGTGAATATTTCTTTGTTTTTTAAATAAATAAAAAAAAGTGCCCTCGCCAAATGACCCAAATCCCTTCAATGGAGATGTTGCATGTGTGAGGGATTTGCGATTTGACTGTTGTTTCTTATGTAAAAGTTCGCGAGAAACACGATGGTGCCACTGGTTTTCTCTGAAATCAACTCCCAAGCTCAAAAAAAAGCTCTCAAAGTGAGGCCAAAATGGAGGGGATATCCCACCCTACCCTAAGAGTCCACCTCTACATCAAGACAAACTCTCCATGCAAAGATTGGGAGCAAATACATTAGCAGGGTTGCCGTGTTTTCAGTTTTGGAGTCTCCGAATAAAGTGGGAGCCCTGTCAATGTATTTGCTCCCTATCTTTGCATGGAGAGTTTGTCTTGATGTAGAGGTGGACTCTCAGGGTAGGGTGGGATATCCCCTCCATTTGGCCTCACTTTGAGAGCTTTTTTTGAGCTTTTAAGTTGATTTCAGAGAAAACCAGTGGCATCATCGTGTTTCTCGCGAACTTTTACATAAGAATCAACAGTCAAATCGCAAATCCCTCACACATGCAACATCTCCATTGAACAATTTAATTTTTTACGCGGAAACAGTTATGCAAACTTGCGTGCAAATTTTCTGCACAGCAAAAAGCCAATTGTTTAAAATTTTCCCCATCTGCAGCAGGGGAACATTCCTTTATTTTTAAAAAAGGAAGAAGAAAAAATGGGTAGCCAAGGCAGAGACAGGAGACCCCCACTAGTCTCTTGGCGACGGGTGGAAGCTATTACTTTCGGGGATTCAACAATTCCTATGGACAATGAATTATAAGGGAGCAACAGTCATCACACTAATTCCGGCTGTTGACCTACCTACATGGTGGGTGATGAGCTTCGGGTGACGTCATGAGCCAAACAAGTTTCCCAATCTTCGGCAATTTTTGCTTGTTTGCAAAACGAAACTGCCGACACGTTGTTAAACATCAACCATGTAGGTAAGTCAAAAGTTGAATGCTGAAGTCCCGAAAGTGAAAGCTGCCACCATTGCCAAGATACCAGTGGAGGGTCTGTTGTCTACACTGAAAAAAAAATCTCGGTGTATTTACTAAGAAAAGGGTAAAATTACCAAGAATTCAGGGTTCTATTTGATCCCAGCTTTTTCTTGGTAAAATTACCATTTATGGAATTGGTAATTTTACCTAGAAATCTCGGTAAAATTATTGAACTTTCTCGGTAATTTTACTGGACTTTGGTAAAAACGCCAATATTTTTTATCGACTGTGGTAGAATTACCGACATAAAATGGCAAAGTTACCGGGAATTGATTACCTTAAAAAGTTGTATTCTTACCTGAAAAAAACAGTAAAAATACAGGTTTTTAGGTAAGCTTACCAGTCTGTCTTCGTAAAATTACCGATAATTGGTAAAAAAAGTGAGATGGTAAAGGTACCAAGAGACCTTGGTAAAAACGCCGAGAATTTTTATTCAGTGTAGGTGTCTTGGCGACAGGTTTAAGCTTTTACTTTCAGTGATTTAAAAAATCCAAGACAAAAAACCTGTTCTCACAGATTACTTGCCAGTGGAAGCGGTATTCACGGGCAATATAGACATACCGTCCGCTCCGGGCCCAAAAGCTAGAAGTTCCGGGCGTAGCACCCGGAACTTTTCGGATTCTGAGCCCGAAACGGACAGTATAAAGCCGGTAACTTGTTTTTCTGTGTTGTTTGAACCATTTAAGCCTGTATTTTGGATGCGTGTTGTGCAGGTACCAGTGCCAGCTGAACCAGTACCTTATCGCGTTCTTCCTGTGGCTGGGCTACTTCAACTCGACGCTGAACCCGATCATCTACACCATCTTCAGCCCCGAGTTCCGGCACGCCTTCAAGCGAATCCTCTGCGGCCGAAAAAACTCGGTCCGGCGGAGGAATAGGCATCTCGGCGTCAGGCACATGCACTGACAGTTGCCCAAGTTCGAGTCGCATACCGTTTAGCAGGGGTGCAGGGTTTTTCCCTCGAGGGGAAAAACTAAAAAAGATGCAAGACGAGAGTCCATCCCTCTCGCCGGGTCCTACCGCGGGGCTTCCAAAATCGTCCGCTTCAAGGAGGAGGTGGAAATGGAGAGCATTTCTCAACAGAATTAGCAGAATCGAGACGCGAGAAGGAGGGAGAGCCAACTGATTCGATTTCATTCTCACTTTTAAAAATCCAAAAGAATGGAGAATGGACCACTAGACAAGGTACGAATTGTTGCATTCTGATACATGTTCCTTAACTAAAATTTCACGTGGAATACGACGCGCACAACGAAAATTGCCGAAATTCACTCCTTTCAAAGATATTTAACAATTCTTGATGCTTGAATTCAAACCATCCGCTCATGAAAACTCAATGCTCTGCGTGATTCACATCGCGCGCTAAACGTTTATCATGACAGTCTCTGCGATATAAACATGTGGCAACCTCAATCTTGACGCTTTGGCTCAGCTGTAGCAAATTGCGTATAGTTTTAACAACACATGGTGGGAAATGAACACTGCTCGATTGAGAAGCTTGTTGAAACCGTTGTAGTGCGCGATTTGACTCACGTAGAGCTTTGAGTTTCTTGTGAACGGGCAGTTCAAATTCCTCTTAACCAATGTGAAATAAAAACGTTAATATCTTCGTTTGGAGTGTGTTTCATTAGTTTTCGTTGCGCAAATCGTGCTCTACGTAAAATTTTGGCTAAGAAACATGTATCAGAATGCTTAAATTCGTACCTTGTCTAGTGGTCCATTTGCATGCAAATGTTTAAGGAAAGTTAAACGTGTTAAGGAAGACCGCCACACAGTGGATCGAGTCGATGGGAGAAGTCGGACAAAATTTGGAAACTTAAAAATCTTATAACTCCGTTTGTACACAATTTTGAGGTTCTAAAACTCGTTCCATTGGTTTGCTCGTGAAATTTTCTTTCAGAAGCACCCCTCAAAATGTAAAATGTAACGAAGTATACATCAAAATTCGCAGTATTAATCAAAAATGTCATGTTCGACCTCTCTAATGGAGAATTTGCATGCAAATTTTTTATTGCTTCATCTGAAAGTGCTTAAAGGCTGATTTCACAGTATTTTTCATATTTTTTTTCTGATATGGGAAATAGTATGAAAACATACTTAAAAGTGAGGAAATGCACCGCCTAATGACGTCATCTGGCGGCAGTTCCCATTTAAATACATGTATCTCAGCAGATTAGATAATATTGTCATACCTTCTCCAATAATTATTCAATTCACGAACCAAGGGTATCCTTGTGTTCAGTTCACTCAGTATTTTCGACTTAAACACAAAATTCTTCAAATTTTAGACAACTGCAAATTCTCCATTCCCATCATCTAGTGTTTTCTACATTATTATTCAGAGATGTTTGACAATACTGCTGTGCTAAGGAAAACGCCGTGTGAGCCCTCAGGAGTTGCTAAATTCCCTTCGATGAAATATGGCATTCCTGGAAAACTTAAGCATATTTTTCTCCCAATTATTTACAGAATTTCATTCACAATTTTATCCATAGTATCCGAAAAAATTTCGAGGAAAAATACTCATAACTCTCCAGAAAAATTAACAATTTACCGGAGGAAACAAGAACGACATCAGAAGTTTTGCTTTTCTTCGGATAAAAAATGTACTTCTGAGAGAAGCCGTGTGCTATGCATATTTATCCTTGAAATTTTTAGATATTGTATGGTAAATTGCGCAGAAAATTTTCAAGGAATATATTCACTATTCCTTGTAAAATCGTTTTTTTTTTAAACAAATATGGCAACGTCTCAAGGCTCTTAAGGGGTTCTTTGAGGCGTTCAAGGCAGGATTGTGAAATCAATTCGAGGGCTTTCCAACTCCTTCTCACCTCTCTGAAGAAAGCGACCAGGATCCAGCGACTCGGATTTCCCTGCATCCCTGCTGTGTAGGACGACGGGGGGTGAAGTGAAGGGGTTGATGTTCCTGAAGGCTCGATGGTTCCGAGACACAATTCGCGAAACATATGTATCTATAGCATCGTTCATCCTAACGTAAAGCGGTTATTTTTTCGGAATTCTCGAGTTTATCAGGAAACCCTCGCTACCCCCCGAAGACAGTGTAAGCGACTCGCGATATTTAGTTAATCAAATTCCACAAGGTTGTCAAATGTGTAATAATATTTGCATATCTTACACAGTTTTATACGGTAGTTTAAGGAAATTGTTCTACATATGACAGTTGTGTTTTTCGGAGGAAGCAAAAGTGATTCGAGCGTCAAATTGAGACTAAAATGTGTTTTTATACTGAAATTGCTAGTTTACTAAAAGCCTCACAAATGAAATTATTCTATGCTCCGACAGCAAAACGCGCATTCAGTTTAACCCAAAACGATATTTTTTGCAAGGGATTCTACAGCTAAAGTTTTGCATTGTCTACTACCAGAAGCGGGCATATATGATGAGGAAATCAATAAATATATGCAAAATTGAGCACATGTCCTGGATGCGACTATTTCTATTTCAAGATTGTGCCTGTTACTTACGCACAATTTGAAGCAGGGGCTCTTTTTTTCTTAATTTTATAATGCACGCTGGTTCATTTCGTAGTCAAATGGACGGATCAGGCATATTGTTAAGTGCCTAAGTAAATAGTCTGATTTTCTCATAGAATAAAATTGTCTCGGTAATTTTTGAAATGCCACTGTTCCAAATATTTAGTTTCGGATTTTATTATGTATGAAACTTGAATATCATTCCAGGGTCACTTTAGCTATTTTTTACGCTTGAATTATGTAACGTTGTCCCAAAATTTTGCAGTATTTCACAAGAATGCGAGGCCCTCACGATTTTGGGACTTCAAATTGACAAGCAATCCATCAAGGAGTAAAATTTTAGAAAAATTCGTAATTTGATCATTAGTTTGGTTTAATATAAAAAAATTAAGAGCTCTTCATCAAATCACTTAAATTAGTAAGCCTCAACTACTTGTCGAAATTGCTGTAACATTATTTGACGATATCTATTTACTTTTCATCCCTACGACATCACAACTCACTGAAAGAAGTTTGTTCGATGGACAAAACATTTCATAGATGCCACGTTATTGTCTTTTCTTCAAAGGTGCTCTTTTCACGTCACTCGGCCCCCAGTATCTTCGAAAAATCCCTTGTAAGTAAAGGCTCTAACTTAAGCATCATAGTAAGCCCCGCTTTTACTCTATGCATTGATAAAGGAGTAAAATTCTAATCCGGTAGCTTTGTGAATCACTTTTGCTTCTAGTTGCTCAAAAATCATGTTACGTAGTAACATAATCATTTGTTGTTTAGTATGAGGTACGGCTGTAAAAAGGTGTAAACCTTCGGTGTATATCCTTGGTGATTAGATCAATTTAGAGCAATCGAAGTTTCCATTTGCGAAAGTGTTGTTTTTTCTTTCGCACACAATTGTTTAACGCAAGAATGCGATTTTGTTACGTGAATGTTTTTATTACCCACTGTATTTTGTAAAACCTGACATAACTGAAAATGTGGCCTGTTCCTGAATCACCTCTCATATTCCTTACTTGCCGACGTTAATTTGCTTAAGTTTCAAATTTTTCGATCCTGGTTGAACGACGTACTCCCTCCGTGCGTAGCACTTTCCGTATTATCACGTTATTTCATATGATTTTTGTTAAATTCTGAATTGTAACTCTAATTTAACTAGCAGAATTACAAGGATTAGGGTCTCTTCCGTTTTCTATACTCGCATCCGTCAAATAAAATACCCCTGTTCTTGACCCCACATTGAGAAAAAAGTTTCTCGGATCTTGAGTCCAGGCTCTTATAAAATTTGTCAAAAAAAAAAAATACTCTTGATTCATTCGGATTTTTGTTTGAATCAAAACGAAATCCGTTTAAATTAAGAGACTTGTCTATCGATTCTAGCCAAAATCCGGTTAAAACGAGAGCTTTTTTTTATATTTTTTAAGATTCCGAACCTAGATCTAAGTGACTATTTCTACAGTGTAAATTTGAAGTATTCAAAATGCGTGCCCCTAAGAAACAGCTTACTATCTCTAGAGTCCCTTTATAGAGAAAGTCGAGACAACGCTGCTTATGGATGTCACAAACGGGAATAAAGATTACACAAATCGGACGTTTTTTGTACTCTTTGATCAACCCATTCCCGAATCCCTATCTCCGTTCCCTCTCTCATTCCATGTGTTCCTTGCCGTACCTCCCATTCCCCGGTCCATCCCAGGTTATAATCTTTGCAATTGGTGAAAATCTAATCTTCATTACCGCTTGTGACACTGTGAAGGCCTAAAGTACGGGAACCAATCAGAACTGTATCCGCATTGTCTTTACTCTCAGTACAGTAAAAGCTCGTTGAGACGAAAAATGAAGGGACCAAAAAAAATTTCGTCATAAGTGGCTTTTCGACTTAACTAAGTCTATTTTCCCTAAGAATTGGCTCCTTTTTGTCGTTTTTACCCAATTTCAGGGCAAAAAATCGGAAATTTTTCTTCGTCTTAACCGGCTTTGGTCAAAATTTCGAAATTTCGTCTTATCCGTATTTTTTTTTACATTGACTCTTATGGAAGTGTCAAGGGACCGAAAAAAATTTCGTTTTAAGCAGATTTTCGTCTTAACCGTATTTCGTCTCAACGAGCTTTTACTGTATAAAGGGACTCTCTATGAACACTTAAAACGGCTTATTGAAATAAATATGGACTCGTCTTTCGCGCACTCATGGAACGAAATCCAGCTTACTACCTCTGGAGTAGATTCTCGTAAAGGTGGGCTGAAATCCTGTCTGCTGTAGGGTATCGGAATCGAACTCGGTCGACCATCGATTCTCAATTGTATTATACCTATCATGAGCAGGACATAGATCGATAGTATCAATAGTATCCCTATTTACTACCCCAGTTTTAACGGGGCGGATCTGGATCACGCGTGACATCAAAGCAATTTCGGGCCCCCGTGCGCTCTGCTCCACGAGTGAGAGTTCGTCGACATAATCGCATCTTAAGGGTGGCCCGGGCGATGATGTCAAATCCCTCGAGACTCCCTCCATCCGCGTCACTAAATGTGGCTTTGAGGGTGGCTCTTTTAAAGAATTTCGTCGTTTTCCTCACGAAAGAACGTAACTTCATTGCAATGTTGCCAAATCTCCACTCACAAGTTGCATATTAACCACCCAAGTAGCACAGACTGCAATAAGTAGCAATTACATTGTATTAGAGTACCTGTATAGCGAGAGTATAGACGGATGTTAAACTCCGAAAATCCATCAGGCCTTCACCGATGCCTCCGC